ACCCTGCTGCAGCATACAATAATTATAACCATTTGATTGCTGTCACAGTCAGGACTGCAAGAAATCAGATGGATGCTCCATCTACAGGTAGTCTACCTCACACTTCCAGACCTCACACAAAATTCCAGCACTCTGCTCTCCACAACAGCACCAGACCAGGCTACTCTACCCTCTGTGCCCAGCACATTATCATTTACAAAGCCATCACTAGCTTTCAGACAAAAGCACAAAAGTGAAGACTGACATTACTGTCCACCACAGTACAGAAGTTACTGCCTTCCTGCTACCTATCATTACTCGCAGTGATAGAGCTACACACTAAAACATAACACGCTAGCAAGAAATATTCTATAGGTTATTTTTGAAAACTTACATGCATAATATCTACAAATAAACACTTAGTGCTCTTTCTGTACGTATGAATTTTACCTCACTACTCCCCAACTTTTTGGGCACCTACAGTAACTTCCCGCAAGCTTACATGTTTATTACTGCTACGTATTGCTATCACTGTGCTCAGTGTTTTTCAGAAACGTTGGGAGTATCAGGCTGACTACAGCAATTTTCACAGTGATTTGCCTTAGCTTTCTGTTAATAAACAGGTGAATTCATATGTTACAGACAACAACGCTGCAACTGAAATGTTCACTCTTCCAATTTAATGCAGTAACTGTTCCAGCACTGTGCATCAAGAGGTGCTTCTCATCACTCAGTAGCCTCTAAAAGAGATGATCTCTCTCCTACTGAGATCAGAAATCTTTCAAGAGCATGAAGTGCTACTTTCTACAATAAAAAGAATCAACGTAAACAACATTCCTGCATAACTGCCTGGAATTAACACGATTATATTTTGTGATTTATATTATGAACAGCTTAACTGTACTATCCTAACTAAGCACTTTCATGATTTTGCAGAAATGGTGGCTGCCACACACCACTCCTCTGCATATCTGCTCTTGGCAACGAGCAACATAAAACCATACTCCATGCTTAAAATAACATTGTCATAGGCACTAATAGAATTTTTAGGAAATCTCATAATGTTTTAGGCTTTTATGGCAGTTTCAATACAAAGATGTGAACTAGAGAAAGTGCATTTTAATTTTAGTAACTCCAGTAGGAGCCCACACACCTTTTCCTACAATGTTTAGAAAACATGAGATTTAAAGATTTTTTAAAAAAACCTAATTAACCAAAGCAATTGAATAATACCAGGCACGATGCTTTACCTTAAGTAACTCTAAGTTATTTAAACAACATGAAAAAAGACTTCTGTGGCCAAATCCCCAGGATGGGCTCCCAGCTCCAGATGTGTGTATTTGTGCGTGTATTTACGTACATATCACACCGAATTCCCAGAATTATTAGGGTTGGAAGAGACCTCTAGATTATCTAGTCCAATCCTCCTGCCAAGGCAGGATCACCTAGAGCAGGTAACACAGCAACATGTCCAAAGGGGTTTTGAATGTCTCCAGAGAGGGAGACTCCATGACCTCAGTGGTGGTGCTCCGCCACACTCAATCTTAAGAAGTTCTTCCTCTTGTTGAGGCGGAGCTTCTTGTTTTTTCAGTTTATGGTTATTGCTCCTTGTCCTATCTCTAAGCACCATTGAGGAGTCTGGCACCGTCCTCGACACCCGCCTAACAGATACTCATATGAATTAATAAGACCCCCTCTCAGTCTTTTCTAGACTACACAGCTCCAGCTCCCGCAGTCTCTCCTCATAAGACAGGTGCTTTAGATCCCCTACTCATCTTCGGGGCCCTTCACAAGACCCTTTGCCCGTCTTTCCCTTTTTACGTTTAAAAAAGAAGGTTTCTCCTTAACACTGACTGCTCAGCCCTCACACCCGCCCTGGCAGCCGCGGGGGTCCCGCCTCCCCCCCACGCGGGGCGCAGCCGCAGGTGTCTGACAGAGCCGGCTGCCGCCGCCTCCCAGCGCGGGCAGGGCCCGCCCCGCCGCCCGCGCTCGCCTCCGACGAGGGACGCGACCAGCGCGTCTACCGCGGCCGGGGGGCGCGGCGGCTGCCGAAGGCAGGGGCGGGAGAAGGAGGAGGATGCCGGCCGCGCAGCCAGGCCGGGCTCCGGGCCTCCCACAAAATGGCTCTAAATGCTTCCGCTCCTCCCCCCCACCACCACCCCGCGCTCAGGGTGAGGGACGGAGGCGCCTCCGGGAGTTCGGCACTCCGGGACCGCGGGGTGCTCGGTCGGGCCGCCCAGCCGTCCCGCCGGGTGGAGCGCTCGCGAAGCCACTCACCTCCCGCCCGCGGCGCGGAGGCCCCGCGCCCCCCGCACGCCGCTCGCCTGGGCCGCGCTCCTCCTCACATCAATGGGGGGGCGAAACGACGCCGCCTCCGCGCCTACCGCCACCAGCTGCGCGGGCTCTGCCGCTGCACGGTCGGTGCAACCGGTACCGCCGAGCCCCTCCGCCCGGGCTCCCCCGTGCGCCGCTCCCGCTCGCTCTTTATTTGCGGGTTCTCTGCGCTACAAAATGGCGCCCAGGGAGGAAATGAGCGCCCGCCCCGCCCCGCAGGCGGCGGCTGCGCGCGCACCCAGCGTGGGGCGGCGGCGGCGAGAGGCGCCGCAGTGGTGCTGGGTCCTGGCGCGCACGTCCCGCCCCGCCCGTGAGGAATCGTCGCCCGCCCCGCCGGGAAGCGCCGCAGATGGTCCCGCGGGGTGTTTGAGCGCCGGTGTAAGGCCCGTAAGCCGAGCAGGCGGCGCAGCGCTGGTGCCCCTACGCCCTCCCGAGGGTGCCGCGCGGCCTCCTGCCGGCGGGGGGCGCTGGTTCCCCGGCGGGACGGAGCGAGCGGCGCCCCCCGCCCGCCAAACCGGCTGAGTGGAGCGGGACCCCGGTGCCTCCTGGGAAAGCGGCTTGGCGCCTTCCCGGAAGGCCGGAGGAGAAGATGGGATCTGTGGGAGGGGAGAACTGCGCGTAGCAATTAATAATCTGCAAAATGGGTGCCGGGCTGGTCGGCTTGTCTGCTGGGGCTTCCCGCCAGCAGTGCCAGTGCGGGCCAGTGTCTTCAGTCGTTAATGATAGATAAATCCAGCTGCTTCCAAAGAAATTAAACATCAGTCTCCACGTTTGGGAGTAATAAACAATGCAGCACACTGTTCGCCCTTCATTGCCGTCTAGCACTGAGCTGCTACTTTAAAATCGATTTTAAAGTTTACCCTTCTTACTTACTATCCATGATTTATTTCTCAAGCAGTAGTATTAGGACAGGTAGATACTCTTGCCCCTTTCCGGTAAAGTCATAAAGCTGCTGCAGGCTACATTAGTTTGTCACCTGGGTTGCGCAGGTGAAATTGATTGTCACTTGCTACATCACTGCTGAAGATGCTCCAGGAATCTCTCCTGGCTTACTGGTAGCAGGGAGAATATATTCACTACAGAACAGAATCCAGCACACATGTCCTGGCAACCAGATATGTGTATATGTGTGTGTATATGTGAATACACAGATATTTCAGTGAGAATTTGAAACTTTCAGAAACCCAAGCCATGCTACATGTGACTTGACATAGCTACCCCAGGTAAGGTGATCACAAGGAAAAAGGACCTGAATAATCTTCTTTGAAGTCTTACCTCATTTTTAAAGTCAAAAAAGATAACCTGCGATTACTGTACAGTGTTTTCTGTCAACTGAAATTAGCTCAGTTAGTTAGAGCACAGCACTAATAACACCAAGGTCGTGGGGTCGATCCCTGTACAAGCCATTCACCTAAGAGTTGGACTCGATGATCCTTGTGGGTCCCTTCTAACTTGGAATATTCTGTGAAATCTGCTCTGCATCTGTTTTCCTTGCAGGTATTTGTTTCAAGCATTCAAGATACCAATTAGCAGACAGAATCATCACAGGATATGGTGACACAGAAGAGGCGCTGAAATATTAGAGTAGGCTTTAATACGAACATTAATGTAGCAAACTGGCTTGATTTCCCTGTGTGCAAATGTAAGCATTACAATGCTAAAAATGCATATAAGCCACGCAGGACAAAAAATTAAAACTTTTTCACATAAAATAAATGGAGATATACACTTGGGGGGTTATTTCTAATCTGTGTATTGCTATACTGTATATACATTACCCAACATTTTCTCTGTATCAGTGGCGATTTAAACAAGATTTCTCAGTTTTTTGTCCAGAGATTAGTTACTTTTTGTTACATTCAGAAACCGGACCTCCTTTGTGTCTGTTTAGTAGTACAGATAAAGGCCTAGCTCAGATACAGTGTAAGGTGTGAGATGGTAAACCTTCCACCATTATTTGTCTTCATGAGCATGTAGAAAATATTCCTGCATTTTTTACCTCTTGTCAGCACATATTTATTTTAAATTTATCTTTACAAGTGTAGATTACATTTTTGGGAAATATGCTAGCTGAGAAAGAGGCAGGCAGTGAGAAACATCTAGAAATAAGTGGAATCAGCCTGCACAGCTTTATATTCTGGACTGCCTTCCTTCTGTGCCTTCAAATTAACCTGTGTATTATCAGGCTACACCTGTAATTGTTGTTTAGGAAAATAAGGGCAGCAATTTGGTAACCAGCCTTCTGATACCTTTGGGAAGAGAGATTTAACTGAAATACTCTGTTGTTCTGTTTGCATATCCCATAACACTAACCTGGGACTTTGTAGTACTATTGGAACAAACATGTTGACGCCCGCATTGAGTTGTGTTTACAGCATGGTAACTGGACTGAATTTGCTTTTCAAAGAATCACAGAATATGCTGAGTTGGAAGGGCCTACAAGGATCATAGAGTCCAACTCTTAGCCCTGCACAGGACCATCCCTGAGAGTCACACCATGTGCTACTGTTCAAACACTTCTTTAACTCTTTCAGGCTGGGTGCTGTGACCACTTCCATGCTGTGACCTCCATGGGGAGCCTCTTTCAGTGTCCAACTACCCTCTGGATGAAGAACCTTTTTCTAATATCCAACGTAAACCTCCCCTGACACAACTTCAGGACATTCCCTCAGGTTCTGTCACTGGTCACCACAGATACACTACTGGACCAGTGCCTGCCCCTCCTCTTCCCCTCATGAGGAAGTTGTAAACTGCAATGAGGTCTCCTGCAGGCTCAACAGACCAAGTGACCTCAGCTGCTCCTCATTCAGCTTCCCCTCAAGGCCCTTCACCATCTTTGCTGCCTTCCTTTGGACACTCTCTAATAGCTTAATATATTTCTTATATTGTGGTGCCCAGAACTGCACACAATATTCAAGGCAGGGCTGATGCTTTGCCTGATGACCTCAGGACATGGTTGGCCCTTCTGGCTGCCAGGGCACTGCTGACTCATATTCAACTTGCCATCGACCAGGATGCCCCGGTCCCTTTCTGTGGCACTGCTTTCCAGCATCTCATTCCCCAGTCTGCACAAACATCCAGGGTTGCCTCATCCCAGAATTTGGCACTGACTCTTGTTGAATTTCCTATGGTTGGTGATTGCCCAGTCCTCTAATTAGTCAAGTTTTCAAATAATAGGTGGTAGTGTAATCCCCAGAAGTATCGTCAGTCCCCAGATGAGAAGGCATCTGTCCAAGTATTCATGATCTATCCCAGTACCAACACAAAAGTAAACTTCACATATTCATTCACCTGTAATGATAAGGTGGAATAAGAACCAGATTACAAATAAGTGGGCAGGACAGCTAGCCCAGTTTTAATTTCCTCTAAGGACAGCATGTTGCTTGTCAACTTAATTACATTAACTGGATGGCTCCTCCTTAGTTTCACCTGCCTGGTTCTGGGTTTCTTTTTTACACTTTGGTTTTAGATGGAAGCCATTTGTAACAACACCAACACCACAATGCTTCTCAGTTCAGAGGGATGCTGTTTGTCTCTTCTTTTTTTTTGGCTCAATTTTCTGCCTGCATCCCAGCATGTCTCTGCATGGGCTACTCCTGAGGCCCCAGTGGTGATCACAGGGGGAGTGATGTGGGGCCCCAAGCATGCAGTGGCCCCAAACTCCCGTGGGAACACGTGGTCCATTCCCACACCATGGGCAGGGGCGTTGACATGCCATGGCAAGGAAAAAGCAGGGTCTGAGGGAAACGCTTCCTAGTGTAAAACACTCACAAAAAAATTGTCTGCAGATCAGGAAAGCTAGGAATTAGGTTAAAAGGGAGATAAAGCATTTTTCAAAATTAAAAAAACCTGTTTGGAGTGCTGTACATAAATTTCTCGGCATTTTAAAATAACTTGAAGTATCAGGAACTAAAGAAAGGCCAATGAGCTCTTGCAAATGCTGTCCTTGACTTGGAAGGACAGGAGATGGAGCAAGGCAAAACCACAGTGCATCTGCTGGAGCAGAGAATGAGCTCTCGGGCACACTGGAAAAGGCTGCTATAGTCGACAGGTGGGCGAAAGATAAAATGTACAATTGCTGCACTGAGAAGAAAGTGATACAGACAGGTCCTTTGGGTAGGTGAAAATCTGGGCAGCTGAAAGCCCAAATTTGACATTGGCGAACTCTCCCTCTCTTTGACAAGCTTCCTGAATACTAGTCTGCAGGCTTAATGCTGTCTTTATATCCCCTGATAATATGCTTTTAAGAGCCTCAGTGGAATTATCACATATTTTTCTTACATATTTATATCAAGAAGTAACTACTTCAGAAACCTCTCAGAAGGATTTCTTTTTTTTAATTACCAGTGTGTTTTATCAATTTATATGTATGTTTGTGTTTGTGCATAAATATATATATAAAAGACCCCAGGAAAACATAAAATCTGCAGGATGATAATGTACAGCTACTTAGACTCAACTTGACTTGCAACTCTTATCTCCCAGACTGCAGCACTTGTAATGCTCCCACACACCTCTGAATTGGTATGTGCCACATAGTGGTCAGAAATTTTGTTCCTGTTAGGGGCTGACCACACCAATGAGTGAACTCCAGAGCCTCTCCTGAAGACATCCCCTGACTGATAATCAATCCAAATTCAATTACAAATGAATGATGACTCAAGTTAAATTCATTTTTGAGAATGCTTGATAAATGCTGCAGCTTGCATTTGGAGTACAGGTGTGCATATAGTTGCTAAAGATATAAACCCAGGGGTTTACTACAACCATAGAAAGGCCCAGATAGTTTTAATAGTGTAAATGTTTCCCCTGTCTGAGGGAAAACCAGCATTTTTTAATTGAACACAGATGAGATTATGAGCATTCCCTGATAAAAACAGATTCAAGGAAAACACAGATTGCTCTTGACACAGCCAAGGACATTTTTCTGCCTATCAGGAACTTGATTTTCAAGGACACAGTCAATCAGATTGGGGATTTTAGAAAATATAGATCTTATCCTCAATGGGAAAACAGTGTGTTCTTTGAGACATGCTTTTTATGCTGAACTTACCCATAGAAAACTGAATGTAAGTCCACTGCTAAGAAAATGTGGAAAAAGAAGGAATTGTCTTTCCAGATATGAAGAAGGGCCTTAAGATGCTAAAGGTGTCCAGCAAGCCTGAGTGCCCTAAGCA